ACTGATACCTCTTTTTCCCCATTTGAACTCGCCCATTGAGTCTATCAGCAAGTTTTGAAAAGGTATTATTCATAGGGGGGAAAAAAAAAGTATAAAATGTAAGCAGCATATCATACTGAACTGTCTAGCACCTCAGAGGATTACAATTTCCCTTTAATGCCAGCTGGCTGCATTACAGTAACTAAATCAATGGAATGTATTGGCCATTTTAAAGGCATCCAGTGCTCCTGCCAGTGCCCTTGGTGGAGCAGCCTTGACCGTGCTGTGCGCCCAGCAGGGAGCTGGCAGGACGAGCAGGCAGACAAGGTGCCTTCTGGGCTGCTTGAGCAGAGGAGCCCAGCATTGCCACAGAAACTGCTGCCAGTGCCTTGGCAAGCTCGGCCTGGGTGAGCTGGGGGTGGATGAGACACATGCACAGTAGTATCCAGCTGACTGGGAGATCATACACGTGTCAGAAAGTTGGCTGAATGGTATTAAAAGATGGAAATAATTTCGTTAGCTGTCACATTATTTTCTTTCTGAGTTAGTCTTATTCAGCATTCTTTTGTCATGTCACCTCTACAGAAAAAAAAACAACGAGATGAGAAGCAGCATGTTGGAATAAGCACATAAAAGTGCTTTGCTTTCATCTTATTTTAAGAATTTATCACATACTCCAGGTTATTCTAACCACATTATTCTAACAAGGTATGGCCAGCATTTTTATAATGTACGCAACATTTTCTTCCAGATTTATGTGCTCCCTCTATTTATAGTCCGTGTGTTGTATGTATTACAAACTGGTGTGATAAGGGCATGGGAAATTTTCTGAGACTCATGTATTGGGGTGTTTTTCTTCTTCCCCATGTGGGGAAGTCAAAGATACAACTAAGTACCCATACCGAATGTATATTCAGACGTGTCTTCAACTTTAGATGCACAAATATCTTTTCAAATCTGGTTCCATCACTTTAAATGCCTTATAATGCAATTACAGACAGTCACATGCCTTAAATCTAGACTGCTTCATTACTCCGAAAAAATACTGTAAAATAGTATTTTCCTGTTGAGTATTAAAAAAATTTAAAAAAATCATTACCCTTGCAATTCTCAGAAGCCACCTATACTGCACGTGAAAACAGAACAGGATGTGGCTCGGCAGTGAAGCAAGATCTAGGATTCGGCAGGGAAAAACCTCTGGAATTTTAACTCTGAGCAGGCATCTTGTAAGGTCCCTGCTAGAGAAGCACTTCATTGACTTACATGGATATTTCAGTGCTTTTCTAAATCAGAATTCCCTCAAAGGGCTGTATGCTCAGCTATATTTCACTATTAAGTTTAGAGTAAGAGCCAAATCATAAATAAATGCAAAAACCATTCCTGATGTGAACTAGGGTTATGCTGGAGATGAATTGGACACAACTAACCTGTTTGGGTTTTCCCTCTAAAGGAAAGAAAATGCAGAGGCTTGAGGAGAACTCGTTTGTCAACAGGCAACAGCAGCACAGCTTGCAAATACAATTGTGTGAGTCTCGCAATCTTTTACCCAGAGCTTATTCTAGAAACCTCTTCCTCCCTCCCCCCCCCCCCAAAAGTTTTGCATGAGGAAGGAGCAAGACCCAGAAGAGCTGCTCTCTCCGTATGTTGCAATATCCAATCTGTGTGTTACTATCAGCTTTTGGAAACTGACTATGTAGAAAACTCAGATGATGTTTGCATGTTTTAATTTTAAGCATCTTTGCTTGGTATAAGGATGGAACCTAATAAGTTGCTTTGTTTCTGCCTCATGAATTAATTCAGCCTGCTAACTGATTTGGATGTATCGTTTTTATTCCAACTCATAAATTTGTTTTCTGGGCAGACAAAACAACTTTTGGAGGCAACGTAACAAGTTTGTTAGCTTGCCAGGAAAAGTGCTTTTTTAATATCTACAAGGAGTAGACTTTTTTCTAATCCACTTGTTCCACATGTCTTTTAAATCAATCAGATAAATTCACCTTGTTTTTCAGTGCCCTGAATCCTGATAGCTCTGCACACTTGATAGGTAATTTAATCATTGTTGGTGTGGATGAATACAAGCTCGAATTAGCTTCTGAAAGGCTTAGTCGTCCTGTAGATAGCTCTGCCTTTCCACTTTCATGCAGGAACTGAGCTTCACCAACTGGTTAGCTAGAGGTGTCATTAAAAATTTACAGAAAGAAACAAAGGTGTGCTCCAGTGTCTCTCCTTACCCTTTCTACTGTTACTCTGGCAGACAAAAGGTATGGAACCTGCTTCATGAATAATGAGTCATGTAATATGCATAATGCATTTTTAATGGCACGCAGTAATAACACTGAGAGAGATATTTCCAATCTTCAGACTTGCACCACAGCCTCTCAGTAGCCTGTTCTGATTCTCCCCAGATAGATCCTGCTTTCATCATCATCATTTCACACTCCCTGCCTTAAAGACATGACTTTTTCCCATTTCACCCAAACTAGCAGCTGAGCTAGTGCTGGACAAAAGCAGGGCTGGTGAGGTGGAGAGCACCCTCCCACACACCCATGCACAGCCACTTCAAACGGGTCGGGCGTGAGCAACAGCTCAACACCGGTGCCCTGAGGTGTACTAGTGAGCTGCAAGACACTCTGGGGCAAGACACACTTAAATCAATAAAAACACCTGTCGAGTTTCTTCCCTTGAAGAACAGAACAGTCTTGACACTCTCACTATGTTTGTGCTGCGGAGCCCTTCCACCTCACGGTGCAGCCTGGCCCAGGCACCCCGCCCCAGTCAGGATGTGAGCGCTAGGCTCAGACCACACTCATGTCCTGTTTGGAAATGAGAGCCTCTGGGGGCAGGCATACACCACTGTTGAAATTTTCAAGGGCCTGGTGGAGGAAGGCCAGCAGTCCCCTGCAGGAAAAGGCCCTCCTGAGGGCAGAGCAGCTGGGGCTGGCTGCTGCACCCCAGCCACCCTGTGCCCAGCACCCCTGGCTGGCACTCACTCCCTCCACAACAGCAGCTTCCCTGTAAAATTAAAACCAAGCATCATCCATAGGGCAGCCTAAGCCTACCTGTGCCAGGCACTGAGCTGCTCCTCAGAGTCTCTCCTGGTCTAGATAGAACCCAAGACTTCACCAGGCCTTCACCATTATCACTTAAGTCTCTTACATTGATCTTCTGCACTAATTAACTCTCTATAATGAGCCTAATGTGGTCTTCAGAGCACCTGGGATCTCCTGTGGTGTGCTTTAGTCTTTCACCCTGACCACTGTGACTGTGTGCCACGATTCTTTTTGATAAAAGCCCCATCTATGAAGCTTTGGTGTGGGCAGCTGTGTGTGCAAGAGCCAGCCCCTGTGCAAGCAGCATGTGCTGGGTCAGCCCTGTGAAGATACACTTCAGCCACAGCCTGCGAGGGCCACTCTGTGAGGAAGGGGCTGCAGGTGAAGTTCTCAACAGAGGCAGAAAGCAGAAGCACAGAGGGAGCTGGGGAGCCCCAGGGCAGGTGGAGTGCCACGGCCCTCTCTTGGGCAGGGTGCCCTGAGGGCTGGGCCAGGCAAGCGGGGCACTGGGTTTGTCCACAACTGGAAACAAGAACAGGCATCTGTGTGGGCACACAAGGTCATGTGCATGTGGAAAAATCCTTGCAGCCATGCTGTGCTTTGCTGGGAGAAGGGCAAGGGACGCCTCCACCATCCTCCTGCATCTCTTTTGTATGGGCTGCAACTGCCAGATGGAGCAAGCTCTGCAGACAAGGCAGGCAGGCAAAAGGCAATTCAGTGAGTCCCAACAGGCTTAAGTATAAATGACACACTTGCTGCTCAGATGTCCCTGCAAACTCCTGGGCACAGACATTTAATCTTGTGGGAGGACATTCACACTCCTCCTGGGCTAAGTAGGGACTTCTGGCAGTCTACATTTCCAAACCAGACACTTAAAACTGCTGTTTTAAAACTCTTTTACGGTCCTAAGCACAGTATACCCCAGTCTTCAAAAGTATGACATGTTTTAACTGAAATCAGTGAGAGCTGGGCAAATAAATATGGCAGCGGTGTTCCTTAATCACCAAAGCCACCATGCAAATTCTACTGAGCCTGCAATTCCCTCCTCAAATGCTGTATCCCTGACCACCACTGTGGTGTATTGTAACAGGGAACATTCACAAATATGCTGAAAGTACATATTAAATAAAAATCACTCCGGACCATCCTCAATACTTTATTAACTTAAAACATTGTTCCAATAAATATGTACCAATAAACATAAGACACTCCATAAAATCTAAATAAAGACATTTACAAACCTGTCAATGAAGTAAAACCAGCATTTTCTTAACTGAGGTACCTGCAGGGTCATTTAAGGCAAATTCAGTCAATTATACTTTTATAATGATTCCTGCCCACCTCAGCTGAGTTTCCCTTTAAAAATTAAAAAAAAAAACAAAACCAAAAAACCCCCAAATATATAAATGATGCTATCAAGTAGCTATTTTCCAGTTATTAGAATAAGCCCAGAGTGTGGAAGCCAGTAATGGTTCTGGACAGAAAGTCTGAGCCTCCCTGGTGCTCCTGCCCTCCTCAGTCAGGATAGTTGTTGGGTGGGTTTCTAGTTATAAGGCATAACTCTGTACTTTGGCTTTTCCACTTGTGTTTCACAAGCTTCCTTCTCCAGAGTGGACACAGCAGGAAGTAAACCCCCATGTCACAAATACACACACACAGGCAGGACATGCACACAGAGATGGCTTTGGGAGGATAGAAAGGGCCTCTCTGCAACTGTTAATGCAGCTCCTGATTTGCACCAGAAGAAGTGAGAGCAGGATCAGGCCCAAGCTGTTACCTTTGCTTAAAAACCAGCAAGACGTCAAACCGCACAGCTTCAGTCCTGATCCTCTGCATTTTCCTGGCAGGAAACCAAGAGTGAAGCCATTCAGCACTGAAACTCAACTGAGGCAAGTACACCCAACACCCCACGCTGCTGGCTCTCTGTCATTACCATGTACAAGCTGATATACCCATGATTCCCTGCAAGGTGATTCAAGCTACTGAAAACTTCAGGAGGTTCATCTCGGCCATGGGAGAAATACTTTCTAGCTTACAGTTATTTGGTAGCTTATCCATCTTCAGAGTATCAGGCTTCATATCTAAAAGGCTTATTTTCCAGTGTTATTTCACAAACCAAGAGGGGAAGAGAAAGAGAGAAACTCCAGCCTTTAATTTCCACCTTCACAGTCATTCACTGTCAATGCATGGCCCTGTCCTCTTCTTTCCTCTCTGAGCTCCTAGTCAGAAAGGTAATGCCAGGGTCTGCGCTCAGGACAGGGCTGGGGTCCAGCAGGGAAGCCAAGGGTGTCTGTTCTCATAGTGTTGTAGGTGCTTTCCGTATTGGAGCAGGGCCTCATTTCAGGCCATGCTGTGTCTCCCGGTGTCTCCGTAAATCCACCTTTCGTTGGAAGCCTTTGCCACACAGATCACAGCCAAAGGGCTTGAAGCCTGTGTGCTTCCGACTGTGAGTGATGAGGTTGGAGCTCTGACTAAAGGCTTTTCCACACACCTGGCATTTGTGAGGCTTCTCACCTGTACGCAGAAGGCAGGAGAGACAGAGAGAGAGAGGGTGTGAAAGAGTCACATGCTGCTTATGCCTGACCAGAGCACACAGGAAATGCACACTTGGCCTTACAGCCAATCAAAGATTCTGTGTGATTACCAAGTAAAACATTCTTATAAAAACCAGGCAGCTGTAAACCCCAAAGCATTAGCTGAACCTGCACAGCAGCTGAGCAGGCCTGGACTTGGCAGCACCTCCACTGGCCCAGTATAGCCCTGGGAGCAGCCTGAAGCGCTGAGTGCTCTCAGGACACCGTAACTTGTGAATGCATTTGACTGCATGGGCTCTGTGTGATTTAAACTGGCTTTGTGTCCTAGAAACATGAAGAACTCCTGGAAAGACCTCCACGTCATACTAAATGCCTGACATCGATTATTATAGCATCAGCATGGAGGTAGGTGGAGTAGATAGATGGAGGTTGTTAAGCTAAACCAAGTGAGCTGGGGTCTGTCCCCAGTGGACATATGAAGGCCTCTAACTGAGCCCTGAAGGGCAGCATTCATCCAGAGATCTGCTCTTCTCTCCATTCCCCACACTGAAATGCTGGCAGTCACCCTAAGCCAGTCCCAGAGTTCTCTAGCACGCAAAAAAACCCCACCATAAATGGGAATAAATCCAGGCTCTAGAACTTCTACAGAGGTGTCAGTGGCAGAACTCCCCTGGCCTCCATGGGAGCAGGATCTCAGTGCACTTCCATAGTGTTTATTATCAACTAACGGATAAAAGTGAACCCAACCACAAAACCAAGCCGATTTTCAGAGTGGCTTTGCACCTGCAGAGCCCACTGACTTGAGCTGGAGCAAAAAATTCTTTGTACATTTGAAGGCTAGATTCTTAGAAACATAAAATAATAACAGAATGTGCTGGAGGCTCAGTTTACAAGTGTATGCTGCATATAAAAGGGATACTTGATTCCGCTAAGGACCTGGCTTTATAGTAGCAATTTAAAAGCCTAGACACAGTTTCTGATCTCACAACAAAATAATCGTTTTGCCTGATTCAGAATTTGGCTGAAATTCTACTTAAGCCACCCTCATTTGAAAAAGTTACTATAGAAATACTTTTTAATGTTGCTTCCTAAAGAGTTCATTTTCATCCACCAAACGTCTGGTGGGAAATCTTTCTAAGTAACATTTATTGTTCAATGCTTGTACCCTAGAAAAATCACAATCACCACCTTTCTATATATTTGCCATTTTTAGGCTTTACCCTTGATATCTGCTATCAGGAAATAGGATTTTAGTCATCTCGACCTTGGGTTTGGCCAGTACAGCCAGTATTTTGCATCTACAAATGCTGCTCCATCTCACATGTTATTCATTTCCCTCTACTTCAAGTGAATGGTGCAGGTCTGAAAGGCAAGATTTTCTTTCAAAGATTTCTGATAAACCTGCCTTCTCGCTGAACGATATTTTTAAAACTATTTCCTTTGGTGATTCACCTGCACTTTATTAGTTTCCATGTTTATTACTAACAGTGAAACTTGAGAACTCTGCACCTCTCCTTCCATTCCATATCAAACTGCAGCCATTTCTCAGAAAGTCCGGGTGGAAGTGCAGACAATCTCTAAACAAATATTTAGACTAAGAGTTGGACCCTAGGCTCTCCAGTACAGTGTTTGATCTAGAGGAGGAAACTCCTGTTTATTGTAAATTGGTAGATCCTGCAAAAAGAAATGCTGCAATCAAATTCACCTGTCATCTTCCAGGGACCTCAGTTGTAAATCAAGGCTACACGAATATAATGCTCTACAAACCATCTCACACAAAAGTCCTTCGAATAAACATTGGTGGATCCTATTAAGGGAACACTGATTGGATTGTGAGGATTTGGGTTATTTTGCAGCTGCTGTTCACGAAACCACATTCAAATAACCCTCCTGTGCATGAGTAGAGCTCAGATAGCATGAACAGCAGCAGGGCAGTGAGAAGCACGGCGAGGGACATGTACCGCCCCAGCTGAGGAGGACTGGACTGCTGTGCAGAGACCTCTTCAGAGATCTGCCCTCACGGTTGGGGCTGAACACCAGCTGCAGGGCTGACCTGTGTGAATGAAGGTGTGTTTCTTCATATCAGATTTCTGGTGGAACCGCTTCCCACAGTACTGGCACGGGTACGGCCGGGTGTCCGAGTGGATGAGCAGATGGGTGGACAGAGTAGAAGATCTCTTAAAACTCTTGCCACAAATTTTGCAATCAAAGCTGCGTTCCTGCCGAGAGAAGAGCCCAAACACACACAGGTTACACCACATCAGTGATCCCACCAGCAGCAAAGTCCCCAGCAGCACATCAGTGTCTTGCTCCTTCTGCCTTAATAACCACTTTCACTTCTCAGGAAAGGTGGACTGGCCTGTGGAGACTCAACACTGGCATGACAGCAACACATGATAAAAAAGATAATGCACCCTCTCCCAGTGCTGTGAACTGCTCCTCATAAAAATTTAATTGAACAGCTCTTCCTGCTGGCAGGAATGTCCAGGTGGGAGCCAGCTTGACCAACCCAGGAGAGCCTGCCTGCCCATTTCAACAGGGGCCCAGGACATCATCACTCCACTGGGAAGCCCAACAGCTGCTGCACTGGTAGGAGGCCATCTCTCCACTGTACATGGGAAAGTGGGTGCTGAGGTCTGTTTGGCTCTCCTGGAAAATCTCTGTCGCGGGCTGACTTCTGCTAGCTGGGTAGCCACTAACTGCTTTATTTGTAGCTCAGTTAAACTTCAAGTGAAAGGTACCTAGAACATCTGGGGAAAATAGTTTTTTGGCTTATTGATTTTAACGTATCAAAATAAATGCAGACACCTTGTCATCGCTTTCCTCTGCCTCACACACTCCACCACTTTCTTCCACCAAAAATGATCTCTTCTTTCCATCCCTTAACTACCATGACACCTTCCTCTTCCTGCCATGCTTTCATACAATCACCTTAGTTTATTTGTCTTTTAACGCACTCTCCCTGAAATGTTATCCCCTCCAGGGACACAAGATGCAGCTCTGATCCTTTTCACCATTATTTAAGGGATGATATTTCTCTGGATTGTGTGCTCTGCTGTTGCACACTCATGAAATTGTAAATAAAACAATTAGGAAAAAAAAAACATTGCTGTAACTCTATCCTCCAAAAGCCAACCTGAAGAAGGAAGATTTGCCAGGTCAAGTGGGTGGGTGAAGGGGAAATATGGCACAATACCACCAGGTGGAAAATGTTACAAGTCCTCCTACCAAAATTAACTACTATATTCTTTTGGTTTGTGACTCAGACTGTGTCGAGACGGGTGAAGTCTGTGCTCTATACCTGACTGGTCGTTCAGAGGTTCCCTGCACTGACACAATGACTACAAACAAGGGAAGAGTCACTTCTTTGGGGGAGGTGAGGAGAAAGAACAAGAAGAGCTGCGTCAAAAGAAAGCACGGTGAGTTGCTTTAGCTGTTAAAAAAAATCCGCATCTGCATTACAATTTCCAGCTCCAAGAGTGAAAATTTATTATTTATTATCTGTTACTTCCAGAATACCAGAAGTGCCCATTGCTTAATACAGAGGCACACAAGGTCTAGAGAGTGTTAATTTGCTCCTTTGCTGACTAGCTGCCCACCCTTTCCTCTGCCTGACACCATATTCTTCACCTGCAACTCCCCACCGCAGCCCTACAGTGTCCTCTTCCTCTGCTCAGTTTAGGTGCCCACCTACTGCCTGGTGATTGCCTTCACGCAACTGCCTGCCCAGCGCCAGCTGAAGCAAGCAGCTAGCCCTGGCCCTCGGGCCTTCATCCTACCAGTCTGCCCCGCTCTCACCTGCGAGTGCACGGCCTTGTGCTGCTCCAGGCTGACTGCATGGCCGAAGGTCTTGCCACACATGTCGCAGGCAAAGGGCCTCGTGCCACTGTGTGAGCGGCGCACGTGTACCTCAAGGCCATGTGGCGTGGAGAAGACCTGAGGGGAGAGAGCACACAGGGTCAGGCTTGCCAGGGAGAAGGGGCTAGGGAAGAGTCATAATCAGTGTGGGAGAAACAGATCCCTCCCTACCTTGCTGCACTTGACACACTTGTAAGAGCCAGTGCTGATGAGCAATGGTCGGCACAAGAGGTCTGACTCCACTTTGATGCCACCTGGCCCCTTCTCCTGCTGCAGACCAGGCTGTGTCTCGGCATAAACTCCGGGCGCTGCTGCTGGTGGCCGCTCAAACAGCCTCGGGCCTGGGGAGCCAAAGTCACCATAAAGTCCGAGGGAAGAGCTACACTCTGCACCGTAGAGGGCAGGCTCAGAGCCTCGCTCGCAGAAGAGCCCCAGGGCTGAGGTTCGCTCCAGCGTGGAGCAGGGCCTGTAGCTTTGCACAAGGTGCCTCAGCTCGGAGCCACCCAGGCTGTTCCACATGTACGGTTTGAAGGGCACCGAGAACAGGGGTGCTTCATCTAGGGACGGACACACAGATCGCTCTGAGGCTGTGGAAACACAAGGGTGTCGGAATTAGAGCCACAGTTCAGCCACTACCACGGGGCAGAATCACCTTGGCACTCAGACTTGTGCCCAGAGCCAGACCCCTGTACTGCACATTAAGGCCACCCTTTCATCTCTAACGGGAGGACATTTCATATTGCGCAGTAGGGTCTGTGCATCCAGTACTACCTACTCACCTGCTGTACCAGACAAATTATTTAAAGCAGCCACCAATTTAGTCTACCAGAATTTCTGGGTGCCCAGGTGTGTACACACTGATCTGACTGTTGAGACACTAAACAACTTAGTCTGCAACTTCCTTTGGTTTTATCTGCAGCTCCTCAGAAATGGCCCAAGTCAGGTATCAAAGCTAACAGTCCACATGTTTAAGCTCTGATGTAGATCCCACACACTCATATAGCAAATATGACATTACAGAGGTGCCATAAGAAGCGTATCGAGAATTACCTGTTCAATAAAAATAAAAACTGTTTTTTGCACAATGTCCAAATCTAGTCTCTCAGCTACATGCCACAACTGTAACCATACAACAGCATAACTGAAAGAAAGAACATTTTCTGAGGTGCTTGAGTGTCATGCCTCACTTTTTCAGAAAAAAGTAAACTCAGATCAGTCCTCTAGTGAAAAAAAATCATGACTATTTCAGACTGCTCTGAGTAAAGAAACTGAGTCGACCCAGAACACAGAGCTTCAATCATTGGTACAGGTCGCATTAAAAAATGAAGACACAAAAAGATTTTCCTAACAGTCATGAACAAAGTGACCTTCCCTGAGGACAAGCTCAGATGGCTTCAGTTGGCTCTAACAGGTTCACCTTTGGAAACAACATCTGATCTATGCAGTGGGTACCACAAGTTGAATCACACTTGGGGGGAAGAGCCTGATGCAATGGCAGGAGCAGCCTTTGAGATCAGTATCTAAAGGTACAAATGCTCAGGGAGCCTTGCCCAGAGGAAAGCACAGTTGGGCAGGGAACATGAGGTACCAGAGCCTGACTGTGTCTGCCAGAGATGCTGATTAATGCCTGAGGTGCTCTGCTTTCACTTCATCACAGCAGGATGCAGCACTGAGAGTCAAATGTCTCCGCTGGACAAACGTTTTAGTGAACCAAGGAAAAGATAAATCAATTAATTGCTGAAGTGCTGATGCCTTCATAGAGATACCGGCATCCCTTACAACTTGGGCTTCCAGAAGAACCTCCCTTACCAAAAAAATTGTCCACCTACAATTGCTTTCTTGGTTTTTTCTCATTCCTGTCAGCTTCACAGCTCCTATGGCTTTCTCAGCCTTCAGCAAACCAAGATAACCAGGGGTGGGCTACGGAATGAAGGCATGATGTGTTAGGTTATCCATTTGGATAGGCAGATGGTCACTGAGGGTTACAGAAGGGAGTGAGAAATGAGGCAAAAATTGAATTCTGAATGACTTGACTGTTTCCTATCTTTTATATACTTTCAGATGTTAACTGTCTCAAATTCTTCCACTGAAATTAGCAGTATTTTGGTTGGAAATATATGCGCACACACCAACTGGGACATTTGAACAGAGCGATGAAATCAAATTAGCTCTCATGGTGCTGAGCATGATTTTTCCTGTTCTGCACTGACTGCAAAGTTGTGGTCAGCATCACATCATCTATCTTGTGTCTTTGCAACCAGTTTCAGCGTTGCCATCTCTCACGATTTTATCACAAGATTCAAAACTATCTTAAAGCCCCAGCTCTTGAAACTGCATGATTTCATCAGATCCTCAGCTTTCCTTTTGTTTGCTTGTTGTTAACTTTTTTTTTTCCACTTAAAGTCAACCTCTAGCCCAGACTGTAAGGAAGAGCATGAAAATGTAAACCCTCAATATTTCAACACTAGAACTGAATATCCATAAGGTATTATTTACAATCTTGATTTCTAAGCCAGTCTGTCGAGTGAGAGGAGAGGGAAGGCTGACCTGATTTTTGAGCCCTTGGAATTGGCAACACAGGACATGGTTAACATTGCACCACAGATCAGTTTGCGTGCAATGTTCCTTCCATCATCTCACATGCTTTGGAGACCTCTCAAGCACAAGTGCAGGGAAACCACTCGTGTTAGCTCAGGGACAAGCTCAAGCCATCCAATCCCCGTACCCAGTATCAAGGCAACTTGTGAACCCTGCTTTGCCACACTGCAGAGCACTTCTGTGTCTGCCTCTCCTCCACTCCACAGCATCTAGGCATCCCAAGGGTTGAGCAGGGAGGGAGAGACAGATTCTGCCTCCTCTTCCTAGACATTCTGCGCAGCCCTTATATAGACAACTTCTGGGAGAAAAAACATCAGTGCTCTTTTTTGAAGGCAAGGCAATCTGAAACAGTTGCAAACTGGTTGATACGCACAGCAAAGAAAGATTCAAGTGTCCTCTTCCACGGACCACAAAGACCAACTCTCTGCACAATTCCATTATACCCAGTAAAACCCTCCCTCCAAGACTGCAGCATCAAGAGGCTCATCAGGAGATAGTAATATACTGCTGCACTGAGCTATCAGGCACGTTCAGTATTTGCAAGCGCATGGGATTACAGACACACGTAGAAAGTGAGGTTAAATAACAAAGTGATTTGCACTGATGGAGTCAACAACTATTAGAGTGTTAATAGGTATTGTGCTGTGCACGTCTGCCTGGATCAGCAGCACAGAACTAAAAGACAATCCTGAAACCTGGCTTTCACTGCGTACTAAAGTACAACCTGCACCTATGTTCACTCCTAGGGATAGAGGAGAGACAATACTACTTGCAACACCTGCCCTGAGCATGATTTAGAACCATTGTTTCTCTTCTGCCCTGCCTGTCAAAGCACAGAAACTGTGCCCCACCCAGACAAACACAATCATAGAAATCCTGTCTCTCACCAGTGCATCTTGCAGGCACAAATTCCAGCTTACTGCTGAATCTGACAAAGCAGCTGCAAGTCAGAGAGGTTTTGGGAGGCACCGTGGAAGGAAGCCTGACAATCTAATCCTGATGCCATTGCTTTTATCATTAATGTAATGGCACCTCTCTCAACGCACTGAGGTTCATTTAATAAAGCTCTCTCCTTACAGTACCTTGAGCGCCTTACCTTCTCATTCCCCCAATGAACAGGATCAGACAGTCGCGGGACCGCCCACCCCCACTGCCCCAGAAAAATCTTGATCTGAGGACATCACGTTCGTTTTGCCAAGATGCCTTCCCTGAGAAGCTGGATGGTTGATTGGGAGCAAATGAATCCCACAGCAGAGCAGCCCTGGTAAATATTTGCTCCATTTTACATCTGTCTTCTAGGTACCATGAAAATAGTCTGCTTCCCATGCAGAAATCATAATTATTTGGGGAAGTAGGAGCAGGACAATTTTGTTAGCACAAAAATTACACACATTGCTACACTTCATGCAGAAGTATTAACAACACAGAGACTGCTGCATTGCTGCATTTCGTCAAATCTGTAACTTGCACAGACTCAAACTCTACGGTGGCTGGCTGTGATGCTACTGGCCAGTATTTTGAATGTCCCCTCAAAGGGCTTTCGGACTCTTAAAAGAGGGAGAGACTTTAAAAAATCAAACCCACATCATTACAATTCAGACATTGATATGCTAAAGACGAAGTGGGAAAATCAGTAAGGAAACGGTACTAAGTCTTTGTTTGCTGGACTCTGCTGTCAGTCGGTAAAGCTGAGACAATTTTTCCTTTGCCGAGGCAGAAATTGTTTTTTTTCCAGCTGTCACTTTTTAACCGAGGCAGTAAAAAGTGGGTTTTATATATACATGGGTTTTTTTATAAAATTACACCATTGTATTTTTAAACGAGATAAGTATTCACGCCAGGCTGGGGACAGCATCTCCCACTGCTCCAACCACATCAAAGGCAGGACAAGGGAGCTAGAGACAGGGACTGCAGCCATAAGTGTGAGCTTCCTGGATTTGGGGTGTTTAAATCTGACTGTCATTATTTTCCTCTGTTTTTTACAAATGCGATTTTAGAAAAGGGAAAAAAAAAAAAAAAGAGAGAGAGAAGAGGGGGAGGGAGGGAGGGAGGGAGAGGGAGAGAGCCTTTTTATAGGCAAGAGGCAAGAAATAACCTGAAAGGGAGGCAGGGAAAATGTCTAGTTTCACACGAAGTGAATGCTGTTTACTACAGGCATATAGATAGCTGTAGTCGAAATTTGTAGTAGAAATTTTTCCTGTCTTAAAAAACATAGCAGTACCCTATACAAAAATTCCAGGAACTTTAAAACATAACCAGCTTGCCTCTAGCAATTAATCAGAAACCAAAAAAACAATCCCCGATGGCATCACAACTTTCCTAGTCTCTCACCCACTGCTCCCTCAGCAGCGGGAGACAAGCTGGAAAAGCAATCTGAAAGAGATAACTCGAAAACGAGTGGAAGGGACAGATTTGCCTTTTCCCACGCACTGGGAAAACGCAAATCTGTCCCTT